AGTTCTGTTCACAAATTGAATTTATGAGTTTTATTATTATTATTATGTTGTTTTCTTGGCCGCATTTTATTATGGATTGAAATATACTTGTGCGTTTAATGCGAAATTCAAGTTTGTTTCATTATCAAGAACAAGAATTTCGATTTGAATTTTAGTGTTGCGAAAAGATTACTGCAAATGGGATTTGAACTAAATTTGTTTTTCTTGCGTGGGCTAATTAATGATGGCTTTGATTGTTTCTGATGTTGTGTTGCTCGTCTTGCCTCTCGGTTTCGTTCAGTTTCATGTTGAATTTTGAATTTGTTTTTTCCTCTTAACATCCCCATTGTACTGCCAACACTTTGGAGGGGAAGATGGAGATGATTGCAGAGGGGGTGACATTACTGGTGAGCTTTTTGAGTGAAGAGGTGAGGAGGCGATGGAGATGATTGCAGAAGGGGCAAAGAAGGAGATGGAGATGATTGAGGAGCAGGGGCTGGATTTTTGAGAGATGATTGAGGAGCAGAGGCTGGATTTTTGAGAGAAAAGACGAATAGCAGAGCTGTGTTTTTTAGAGGAAAACGATGCCGTTTGGTTTGGGACTCCAACTTATTTTTGGGAGGTAGGACTGATACCCACTTTCCCGTATGTGTATATATATATATATATATATATCAACAGAAGAGAATATTACTATTAAAAGGGAGTACAAAGTGTCCTCTAGCCATAACAGAATGTAATGTTTTAGAGGCAATACATTCGCAATTATTCATGCAACAATGCAAGAATGTAAAAGGGAGTATTATTTAAAAACTCAAAACTTTTTTCTATTTTTTTGAAAATTTTTTTTGAAGTTGAGAATCAGTATTATTTAAAGACTTAAAATCTTCAAATTTAATAGACGAAATGATGATGTTATATTCAATAACATATTTCAAACCATTAAATTTAAAAATTAAGAGTTGATAATTTATGTAGCAAGAGTTATGGGTGTTATAAAACAAAACCAAAAAACGTATTGCTTCAAAAAGTACTTTGTTCCGCAGACTACATGCCAAAGAGCTTAATTGGATCATGATGCAGAACTGTTATCTTAATTTTTCCTCAAACATTCATCACACATTCAGTTTTGACCTTTTGATTCCAATTAAGAAAAACTGTGCTGAGATTGCTCATGACGTGTCCATAAGGAAGAGAAAATTGAGTAGCGTTTTTATTTCATTTGGATCTCTCTTGACATCCTTAAGATTTTGATCTTTTTAAGTACCGCCATAGCACCTATCAAGTGTCAAATTTTTCTAGGTGATTCTGCACAAAAATCCAAAGCCAGGTCCGGAACAGATGACACACAATTTGCTTTGGCAATGAAATGTGTTCCTCATTTCATCAAATAGCTTCCCTGGTCATAGCTAAATCCGCACACTGCAAAGCACCCTTAATCATTGAATTCCAAAAAACAGTATCCTTAACGTGTATGTTGTTAAATTGTTGAATGTATCATCGAGCCTATAACTTTCCGCGTAACTAGTGATCATCTTGGCATATGAAGACGAACAGGAAATGGGACTCTAACCCTCTTGTTTTCGACGTTAGTAAGAATTTGAAAGTAATGGTTCTAGAATCAGCGTGATTAGACTGTT